GTGGTGTCGCATATATGCGTCGCTCGGTAGCAAACGTTTTAACCAAACATACGAATGTAAACTTGGTCATCATTAGGATTCAATTATGTACACTCGTATTTAATAACAACTTTATTAGGACTCAAATTAGAACGTTTAGGCCGATAACAATTCAATTAGGCCTAGGCCTACTTAATATTCTTAATATATGTAATAATAAAATACCCCCGCCCCAGCAAACCTGCAGACTAAGCGAATTTCAACTTGTCTGATTACATTTTTATTTAAATCATACTAATATTATAAATGTGAAAGTTTGTGTGTTTGTTTGTTTGTTTGTTTGAAGTGCAATCACGCATTAACTACTGGTCGGATTGTGTTGAAATTTGGTATGATGATAGCTCACATTCCCGATTAACATATGGACAAATTCTTACCTCAAAAATCCTTTAGGGCTCTGCCCCAGCGGCTCTGGAGTTTCCCATGTTAAACGTATGAGTATTCATTTTTAAAAGGAATTAAATAATTTTGCCAGCTGTTTCAACTTACACAATTTGTTTCTATGATACAAATTTACCAACAGGGTGCAGCACCATTAGTTCTTTATACATTTTATTTATGACAACAGCTAATTTTAACCAAGCAGCAACAAAAACCTGAGTGTGACAACTTAACTTACTTTCTATTGTTTAGGTGAAGTGGTAGAACATTATGGCTATGGTAGATGTTCTATTTACTATAGTATACCGTAGATTATAGTAAACCAAATTTTCTCAAAATGTGTCCTCTCTCATTGCAAATGCAAAGCACGAGTATTTAACTACAATAAGCATTGTATACCAACCCCGTACAAAGGACGGGTACTCAGCTAGTATTTCCATAAATAAGACATATTTATTCCCAATTTTAATAACATTAGATTTGATTAGTGCTTAGGTTTGCTGCCACGGGGAAGGTAAAAAGTGTTTTTTGACCATACGTCAATAGTATAGGATGAAATAAATAAATTGCCAAATTTTATCAACATATATCCATAAACAAGTAGGCCTAGGTAAACTAGAACAGTAATTATTTTCTCCATAACATGGAAATTTTAAATTACACTTTTTTAAATTTTTTCCGTAACCGTTACCTACTCATACAATAGCGCTTCATTATACTGAATTATTTCTTTATTTTAAGCTGTACAGAGTGGTTTAGAAAGAAATAGGAAAATTCTTGGTTTTTAGGGTCAAAAATTGAAAAAAAACAAATTTTTACCTACCCCATAAACCCCGGTTTCCATGGTCAGATCAGGCTGGTTCGCAAACTCGTTAGAATAAATGTAGGTTTACACGTTTATATTTAATATTTTTATTTGAATTAATATTTTTTTTTTTTATATACTTTAGGTTTAAAGTTTACACGCTAACGGACACACACATATGGATTTGAACGGATGTTTTAGCCTCTGGGGACCTCAAAACAAAAAAATAAATTGGTCCTGAGTTCAGATCTTACCATGAGACCTACGGTAAATAGCTTATTCCCTATATGGGAAATCCGCTAAAAAATATGTTTTAGGCCTATGGTTAAAACTGATTCAAAAGCAATGAAAATTGTTCATTTACAAAAAATATACAAAAAACTGCAAATTTAAATATAACTTAGGTATTTTAAAAGTTGTAAGAAGTTATTGTGTTTATAGTATTATGCAAATCTGAAATCACCAGCTTTATAAGTTAGCCTACATGAGTTAAGTGATAAGTAGAAAGAAAATAGCTATAATATTAATTTCAAAACTTGATATACCAGTATTTTAAACAAAATATTATAAGAGTTAGTAGCAGCTATTGTTTATAAAACCCGTTAGAATGAAATAAAATCTTGCTCTACACATTAAAACTCAAACGAATTGGATAGATCTTCCTCTTCTTCGACTTGTAATAAGTTAAATCTCATATGGTTTAGGTCTCTATTTGAGGCCATTATTTAAAATCATAAATATCTATTTAGGCGCCTATTCAAAATTAATTAAAAGGCTTAAAAGGACTTTTGCACAACATAAGCTGATTTAACTCACTAAGGAAAAATGTGATAGGCCTGATATAATTGTTATAAGCTCAAAACGCCTTGTTATTGCCTCTAGATACCGTAGTTCTGATGATTGTCGAGGGAGTGCAGCACCTCCCAAATGAAGAGAATCATAAACAAAATTTACAATGCTAAATATTATGAAGTGGGTGGACCATGGGGTGGACACCGAGCTGAATTGGAAACGCTTAGAAGGCCACCAAGCTAGCTGGCCAGAGCTGCGGGGCTACCTTCAGCGCTGACAATGTCGCGTCATTAATCAAAATGAGAGGTCCACTGGCGTTCCCCATCGAAGCGGAAGGAAAATACAACGATAAGTTAAATACTACCGCAAAGGGTTAAAATTATTTCCCTCAGATCGTGTTTTCCCCCACCCAAAAACTCCAATTCTCACTAGTCCTCTATTCCCTAAATAGTAAGGGGTTAAGTTAACTCAGGATTTGTAAAAAAATATGATTTCTCCCTATTTGTTTTCCTTGCACTACTTTATGCATTTTAGGTCTTTTTAATTTAGGCCTTATGCATTTTAGTAATTATCAAACTCCGAACCAAACCATCCGAAATTCAAAATTTTTTTTCAAAACGTCTGAAATTTCACGCTGATTCCAAAAATGGTTGTTTTTCTCTGAAACAACCCATTTACCCGGAAAATCGGAAAAACCTCAAAACATTTTTTTAACGGATAACAACATTGAGGGTGCTTAAATTAACCGATAGAGCAAGCTGAACAAAGAATTTTTAGAATCCGATGGATATTAAAGGAGATATGGTCGGAAAAGCGTCGGAAAACAAAAAAAGAAATCTGTGTAAGTTAAATCGTTCATGTACATATCCAAATTAACAGGAAAACGAGTTGAACAAGAATATGCAAGATCAAATGGATGTTACGGCAAAAAAGCGGCGGAAAATCAAGTTAGCACCAAAATGATCAAAACTAGGTTAGGTTGGGTTAGGTTAGGTTAGTAAGGTTGGGTTGGGAAGTTGGTTTAGGATAGGTTGGGTTAGGTTAGGTTACTAAAAATACTTACCCAATTTATTGATAACCTAACCTAACCTCGCCCATCCTAACCTAACCTAACTCAACATATTTTTGGTCATTTTGGAGCTAACTAGATTTTCCGATGCTTATCCGAGCCGTAACTTATATAACCGTTAATAGCCTATCTATCGGATCTTGAAAAGTCTAGCATATTCTTGTTCAGCTTGCTCTACCGGTTAACTTGAGTGCCCACAATGTAACTTTCAGTAAACAAACATTTCGGGGTTTTTCCAATTCATCGAGTAAACGAGTCATTTCCGAGAAAATCGACAAACATTTTTGGAATCAGCATGAAGTTTCGGACATTTTGGAAAAAATTGAATTTAGGAACAAAACCTTGATTTTGGTGAGATCCAGAGGTCGATTTAATAACCCTCATTTTAAGAAGGCCTAAGTAAGTTAAGTTAGGCCAATTTTAGTAAAAAAAAACTTAAAAATTTTAAGTTTATGTATTGGCCTAAGTTGCTGTAATCTAGAAATTGACCATAAAAAGGCAAGGTAAGTAGGATCATAAAATTTACGTAAGTTACCTTTACAACATGAGAAAATGAATAGCCTAACTTAAAGTTACGTTTTTTAAAGTTTAAAGAACTGGGCCTAAATAAGCTATAAAAATACTTTTTTTAACAATTTTTAAGTTATTTTGGGGTTTGCTAGACCTCCAAGCACGCTTCAGTGTAAAAACAATGTGGGCACATGCTTAAGGGTTAAGGTAAGTGACCTTAGGCCTAATTGCTAGCCTATCTATATAATTAATACGCTACATGAAACTTCTTGTCGGTTGAACTCCTCCGCCATTTCTTAACCGATTTTATCCATTGACGTCTCATTGGAAAGAGCGTGTCGCGTAAATTTGAAAACTGACCTTACATTTTTGAAAAGGTCCCTTGGGCTCTGCACCAGTGGCTTTTAAAGTTTCCATGTTATCCTTATGAAGAACATAATTGTTTACATTTTGATCAGCTGTATAATTTAATTGCTGTTATTTATTTTTGAATTCAACAAAACGCAATGGGTACATTTACTGATTTTGTTGAAATTAAATAACTTAGGCCTATTCACTATTTTAATTTACATTCCTACATATTACAATGTAAAAAGTTGAGAAAGCCTGGACAATTTTATATACTTTACCAAAATAAGAAAAATGAATTGACATAAGTTTAGTAGGCTACTGTATTTCTTGAGCAATCATTGAAAGAACCGATTTGTTAACCATGGAAACATAGCCTAGAAAAGTCATAGAACGCTACCAAGTAGGAGAAATAGACAAAAAAAAATACTGTCCTTATCAACCTATATAATGAAGAACACCTACAATATGAAGATTCCCACAAACAATGAACAAGGATGTTAGCCGAAGTGCTACTAAGTTATTTTGTAGGAAACATGGAATTAAATGATGTTTGGTTGAGGAAACCCCAAACATATTTACAAGAAATGTTGATTACATGGAACTGTTAGGTACGTACCGGTAATGTATGAGTTGAGTAGGCCTATTATAAACTCATCGGAAATTATGGCTTTTATTCGTTTTATATTAGTTATTTGTTTTTAAACAACAACTTTAATTCGTTGCAATTGCTCGATTTCGAGCAACCTGTACACTAGTTCTTATTAAATCGTGTGGTTGGTTTGGGTTAGGTTAGGACTTATTTGGCATAAGTTACCTAAATAAAAACATTAACTTAATCAGGCTACTTTATGACTATGAATGAAAACTTTCATATATATAATTTTTATTAGGGACAGTATTGTAAATTAACTTATTGGTTGTCAAAATATTGAATTGTATTGTATTGTTGTAATTTGATAAATAATTGTTTGATCATTGAGTCATTGTGTGTTTATTATTCGTCAATATGATGTAATCGGATACTACCAAACTTGAGCTAACTTATAGGCCTACCTCTAAAATTTTCTGCTGTTCTATCCTCTTCGTTACAAACATCTTTAGGCGCTCATATGGATAAGGTATTTGTTGCTTACTAAAAACGATGAATTTGATTAATTCAGCAACAAACATTGAACATGACTTCGGTGTGATCAGATCAGTTAGGGTTATTTCAATTTGTATCGGTTCAAAACTTTTTAATCTATTCATGGTAAAGATAATGTTGTATTGTCAATTAATTACTGTTTTAGTATTACAAAATGTTGACTAGGCCTGGAAACATGTTCCTGCTACTCAATAAAAACTCAACACTTTGTAAACGTAAACTAACTAAGTTACTTTGTTTAAATCCACAACTAAAAAAGGCCTAAGATATTGTACTGTACTGTATTTAAAAGGTTAGTTGGTATGTCGGTAATAAAATACTTTAGCAAGCACAAAAATAAGTCGAATGTACTGAGTTATTTCGAACTTTTAAACGACAAACAAAACTCTACCACCTTCTACACATTTCAAAATTACTGTAATTGTAATTACAAACAAAAAACAAAACAAAAAACAACGACAGTCGACAACATGTGTCACCTCCCCACCCCATCCACTGGTCACTAACTACACTTACACTATGACTCTTTAACTTGACAGTTGACACTTACAGTTTTTTTCCTCTTGTGCTTATGGGGCAGGACTTCACATATCACTACAGCCATGTAGTTTTTCTCGTGTATTTGTGCTATGAATTTTAGCGAATTTTCCATAGGGATAAGGGATTGTAAGTGTAAGCTAGAAGCGTAGGTCTCGTGGTAAAACCTGGAGCCTGGACCCGGGATCGATTTCCTCATGGTAAGACAGGATTATCCGATTTCTATGAAAATGTTAACAAACGTATTATTCGAACGAGCTCGCAAACCCGTGAGAACGTGGTTTTATTATGGAGAGGGCTATGAGATAAAAATTGGGTTTTCTCATTTTTCTACCCTCAAAAAATAGGATTCCCCATTTTATTTCTAAACCATTTTTAAGATCTAAAAACTATATTATTATTGGAATCGTGTGTATGCTCAGGGTGGTTGCCACAGCCATCTCTAATGCAGAGGTGTATTAGAGGTGGCTTGCTCATGACCAGACTGCATAAAAGTTCAGATAGGTGCTGCAAAGGGTCGATGTCTACTTGTACCGGCGTCTAGTTGTAACCTGCTACATTTTGGTGACAGGCGTCTAGTTGTACCTCGTGCAAAGCTGTAGGTACAACTTGATGATGTAATGCGGACGTCTAGTTGTACCTACGCCTAGTTGTCTCTACGTCTAGATGTACCGCTTAAAAATCTGCAGGTACAACTAGTCGGGTACGCGACAGTCTACTTGTACCTCATACGTCTGCGTCTATTTGTACCTACGACTAGTTGTACCTACGACTAGTTGTACCTACGTGTACCTACGCCTAGTTGTACCTACGTCTAGTTGTACCTACGACTAGTTGTACCTACGGCTAGTTGTATCTCCCCTTCAACTTGTCACCAGTTTAAGGGATTTATTTTATTTCTTTAAAAAATCATACAATCTTACAACAGTTTTTATGAACAACTTGCTACAAAAGCCAGGAAAATTTGGCTTGTCTGCAGCTCATTGAGAAAACCCTGTTCTTGATAACAATGTACTTTGTCCCTTGGTCAGTCCTTATCCATATTACACTTTGGTTTTCCTTATTTCTTGTCAAGATCTGCTATCATTGTTTTTTTCCACTTAAACTCTACCTTTCTATAGAACACTAACATTAACTGGCTTTAACAACAACTTAAAACAATTATCTTAAATAAATAAATTCAGAGTTTACAAAAACAAATAATTGAGTATAATGAAGTGTTTTTGTATGGTATTAGAATGGTATGACTATGCAGTCACGGGGTGATCGTTGGTATGACCCTCGTTCACGGCAATATTGTTGGTATGACTCGCAGTCTCGGCGGGATTTTTGGTATGACTCCGAAGTCACGGCGCGATCGTCGAAATGAGTTCGCCTCCTGTGTTTGCGGAATTATCTCGAAAATCTCTTGCGATAGCGGAGTCATCGTCACTCACGAAGCGGCAAAATTGCCGATAAGCGGACAAAATCCTGTCCCGAAAAATTCCCGAATTAAAAGTAATCCCGTCCCGAAAGTCGGTAATATTGATTCCCGAAATTTCGGGACCCGTCCATCGCTACTATTTTACTACTCTATTCTCTTCGCGTTGCGAAACAGCTTGTATATATCTATAGAAATAAAAACCTGGGCCCTGTTTCATAAAGATACTAGTCTAGTAATTACTAGTCTAGTAAATACTAGTCCCGTATTTACCTGTCCTACTAATTTGTGTTTCATAAACGTTTTTATACCGCTAGTAAATACTAGTGTATTTTACTAGTCACGTGACCAAAACTACTAGTCACGTGACCAACTTTACAAGGTAAACTTTCAAAACAAATTTCTAACCTCAATCACGGGTTTTCAAACCCTTTATAAAGGGTTTTAATTTTGTTTTCATTTGATACAAAAAGTAAATAGTTGTAGAAACGCAGTGTTTTCTTTTAATTAATAAATATATAGACACATAAGTAAAACAATCACACATTATTTATCAAACCACTATTATTTATGTTCATCAATGAGCCCGCCGACGCGCCGGCGCGGCGTCGCGTTGCTGCAATCAACACGGTGATTGTAGGTAGGCCTAGTTGCGGCGCTCAACTGTTGGGTGGAAGTTGATCTGTGTCTGCCGCATTCGCTGTGATTTGTATAGTTTTTGTTTTATTCTGACATATAAAATTAAGCTTGCTATGAGTAAAGAAAAGAAGGCTCAAATTTTGAATGTAATTAAATCGTCTAAGGACATTTTGTTAGGAACATTTTCAAGTACCCTAAGCCCTAACCTATGTTTTCAAATATTCGAATGCATAAGAATATTTGGGTTAAAAAACATTCTGTGATATTCTAATTTTGAGTCTACAAACCATGAATAATAAGCCTAAACGTTTATTGATAAAACAAATAATTGCAACGCCGTTACAAGCAATGGAGAAGTAGGTTTTCAAGTATAGTAAAACATGGCATATGCGACATATGAGAGTTTCGCTTCTCATGTGGTGGGTCCCTGTTTCAAATCCGCACCACTCACTATACTTTAGTTCCATTAATGAAACTTTTACATGTTTTGCATTTAAATAACAGCTCTAATCAACATCTAATTTTTTTATTACTTTGAATAACAAATTCAGAATACCAAAATGGATTAAAAATAATGTTTTTATGATAAGCAGTTCAGTCCAACGCCCACAAATCAAATATTGGCCTACAAAATTGTTAGTACATCACAGGGTTTTAGCTATTTAGGGAAACAAATAATAAGCACCTAAAAAATACAATGCAACTCCTGTTTAAAATTGTCTTACTATTATTTCCTATTAAAATGTCTTTAAATAAAACCGAGAGCCTTGGGTGTAAAATAATCTGATTAATGTTGCAATGTTGGATACATTTTTGTACATCTTTTTATGCAATACGGTATGCGGTTTTAATTTGGTTTCTCTCAAACTCAAAGCTTAAAAATCTTTTCTCTGTGATAGCTAAATAGTTGATATAACCATGAAATTTAACTCAAGTAAAATTAGACTAAAATTTCACAGAAATTGATAACTTATAATTATAATTAATTCTAATAGGGCGATTGTACATACATTATAAAATTCAATTTCACTCTTTTTGTACTACGCCACATTTATTGATTGTAATTTATATCTAATAATAATTATAATTTTAGCACTCATTGATCAATTTTTATCTAAAATTGCAAACGTGAGCCAATTTGCACTTGCAATAAGAACTTAATAATTCATTTTTTTTAAATGATGTGAGTAATGAAATATCCTCTTTCCAAAAATACTAGTCTACTTCAAATAATACGGGTGTAGACAGGTTGTTAGAAAATGGCAAGTATTTACCAGTGTAATTTACAAGAGTAAAACTTTATGAAACACATTGCTGTCTACACTAGTAAAAACCACTAGTAATACTAGTCCCTACACTAGTAACTAGTATTTTACACTAGTAGGTTTTTGAAACGTAGACTTGTAAAATACACTAGTATTACTAGTCCATGGACTAGTAAATACTAGACTAGTAGTTTTATGAAACAGGGCCCTGATGGTCAGGCTACAATTATTTCCGGCAGCCACACTCAGTCAAACTTACCAGCAGTATACACTTTCCATTTTACAGTGTTGCCAGATCTAGGCTGGCATTCTACGCCATATTCTGATTCGAACATACTCTTTGAGTAGTATATTATCAAAGCATCAGCGAACCTTGTGGCAAAGTGGTGAACTACATTTTTACATACTCCTATCAAAAATACGTCCTTTGACTGCCACCTCAAACTTTGGGAATTCATTTGTACTCATGGCTAGGGTTGATTTAACATGCGATGTGCATACGACGGCCGTATACGGCAGTCATATGCACCGGCAGTCACTTACAATGCGGTTTATCCCATTATTGGCATCCACATGCCGCCAAAGATATATATATATATATACACATACACACACATACATATAAGTAGATATATTCATGTCACTTCTGGGCCAAAAAAGGAGCCACTCAAAAAATAAATGAATTTTCCTATTTTTTTATACAATATGCTATATTTTTTACCCTTTTAGGTCAATTTCTAACATTTTCATATTTTTCTAGAAAAAGTATATAATTTTGATGAAATTTTCATGAATATGTCTATATTTTCCATAAAATTGACTACAAAACAAAATGTTTTTAAAAACAAGTAAAATTTTAAAATTTTTTATTCAAATTTTCTAAATATTTCATTTAAATTATTGTTTTTTGTAAATAATATTTTTCCTATTTCAGTTATTCAAAATCTATTAAAAGTATTGAATTTCTCAGAAAATTCTAATGATATTTGATGTATTACAAGTCCATATTTCATTTTAAATAATTTTAAACTTAAACATGAAATGTTATCAAAAATGATAATCTTAAGATAAAAAGATAAGTATTGATTTAAATTGAAAATAAATATCACCAATGAAAAGCTTGTTAAAAATTAATGCTATTTCATATATTATACATTTCTGTACGATTAAAGATAATGTAAAAATCAACAAAAACAAATTGCGTTGTAAATATAATGTTATTGAAGGAATATTAGTCTATGGCCTAATTTGTTTGGTTGATCTTTTGATGAAAATAAGTGATTGAATAAAATAATAACTAATAGAATGTTAGTAAAATGCAGTGTGGATTTACATGATTGTTTTGATTTATTTTAACTAATTGAAAAATGTTTTATAATATATGCTTAAAATATATAATCAATGCTAAGTCTAAATAGAAATAGAATGAAACAAACAAATGGATTGAGCTACAAAGTGTCAAGTCCACTAGATGGTTAAAGCCCCCCACACACTACCAGACCAGACCGTCTGGCTGCAACCAGTCTTGGACGGCTCTACACACTCCCAGACCAGACGGTCTAACATTCGTAATTGAGAGACCGTGGTGAGAACTCCAACAAGAACAAATGGATGAAGACTGTCACGA